GCCCCGCCCTCTGGCGCCATTGTTATCTGGGCGGCGGTCTTGCTCCCTGCGGCCGGGGGCGGGGGAAACTCCAAGCCCGCCCTGCTTTCGGGAGGTACGGAGGGAACTTGTGTTTGTTGCTCCCAGTCCACGTGGGGCGGCGAATTCCTTCTGTGAATATTAACTCACAGTCCCCCTTAACCCTACCTCTTAGCACCCCAACCCTGGCACCCCGGTTACGGATCATGTCTCACAGGAGAGAGCCCCCCATTATATCCTGGGGGAAGGGTTGGTTGGTGAAGGCAGTAAGTGGTACTTTAGGAAAGAGGCTAAGACCTTCCCTACCCCAAAGTTGTCTTTTTAAAATATATCTATATCTATATATCTATATATTGATTTCAGAGAGGAAGTGAGAGGGAGAGAGAGATAGAAACATCAATGATAAGAGAGAATCATTGATTGGCTGAAACATCGTGATGAGAGAGAATCATTGATCTGCTGCCTCCTGCACACCCTTACTGGGGATCAAGCCTGCAACCTGGGCATGTGCCCTGGCGGGGAATCGAACCCATGACTTCTTGGTTCATAGATCTGATGCTCAACCACTGAGCCACACCAGCTAGGCCCCAAAGTTGTCTTTAGGTGGGGATATCTTAAAATAATCACTTGTGCCCTAACTGGTTTGGCTCAGTGGATAGAACGTTGGCCTGCGTACTGAAGGGTCGCAGGTTCGATTCTGGTCAAGGGCATGTATCTTGGTTGCAGGTACATCCCCAGTAGGGGGTGTGCAGGAGGCAGCTAATCGATATTTCTCTCTCATCGATGTTTCTAACTCTGTCCTCCCTTCCTCTCTGTAAAAAATCAATAAATATATATTTTTAAAAAATAATCACTTGCTTTTATTGTGAGTTTACTGTTTTTATGGAGCAGAGGGCACATTCTAAAATAATAGCAACTTCTATTCAGAGTTTCCCTTCTTGGGTTACTGTACTAAATGCTTTATAGGAGTTGCCTGAAGTTGTCCTCTCCAATGTCCGGCCAGCACAGTGCCTGGCAGTCTGGAGTCTTTTTCAGTCTTGGTTGTGGAATTAATGAATGAGGCATACCTGTTTTACAGGTAAAGAATTTGAGGCACAGGGATTGTGTAACTTGTCCAACATCAACATGGAGTTGTTGATGAAATTATATTCTAACCTGCAGGCCAGCCCCAGAACCTGAGCTCTTAAGCACAAATTCTAGTGAAAGACAACCCAAAACATTCATTACCCTCCACTGCAGACCTGCATAAGACAGGCTGCTTTGGTTAAATCTCACACAGTAGGCAGTGTCTGGCCAGGCATTTGAAGTAAAACAAACAAAAAATTTTGTTTTGTAATTTGGTAGACTGTTAAATCGATTTTTCACTCAGGATAATGGCTACTTTTCAGTGGACCATTTATAGCTCTGTTGTGAGGGCATCAATATTGATTGTCTAGGATGTGTACTTGGGATAAGATACCCCGTGGGTGCTCGGTCAACATTATGCAATGAAGATGATTTGAATCCTTGAAGAGCCAGTCTTTTAGATCACTCCCCAATTACTAACTAGAAGAATGTAATGTGTCACAGGTAAATGGTATCTGTGGCACTTTATCCCCAAGGGGTTGTGCTAGTATAATATGTTAGTCATGGTAATACCTCTTGGACAATCCCAGGAAGAATCAGGAAATCGGATATGTCGCATCAATGTTGGCATGTCAATAGTCTGTCCAAAATCAAACCCGTACCACCACAAACCTGCTTCTGCTTAGTGACTGGTATTAACAGCCTCCCAGTCACCGGACTTGGAAGGGCAGAATCATCTTCAGTTCTTCCTTCTTTCTCCCATGAAAAATTGTCCTTTCTATCACCAAGAATTCTTTAATCCCCAAAATGTGACCTAATCCCAACACCTAGGCTATGATTAGCGTTTATATAAACTGGAATTAATGCACACTCTTGCCTTTGCAATCTATTCTTTACACTCCAGCCAGTCACACTCAAAAAAATAAAACCTGACAGAGTGTAAACCCAATTTAAAGAAAAATCTGAAACTCAAAAACAAAGTTTGAGTTTCACAGAATATTTTAAAAAAATCAATATGCAAATAAAAAAATCAATATGCATTATTGTGTAGCACATCTCAAACTTTAATATATTTACTTAAACTTTAATAACATATTTACTTTAAATGTCATTCAAAGCCTAGTTACTAAAATGTTAGTGTCCTCAAAGACTTTAAGGTATTTCTACACCCCAGCTGTCAAATATAACTTAAATGTAATAATTTAATAATAAAGTAGTTCTTTAGCGCTAAAAAACAAACACACAAAAAACCCCAAAACACAACTAAATGCAGTGTGCATGCACTTGCATAAGGTAGGACCTAAAATTAGGGATCACCAACAGAAAGAATGTTATTTATTCCCTGATTACCAGTAAAATGAATAGGCCAATGGCCAGGAGGAAGCCCATGGCTGATCCCATCCTGAAAAGACTACATTGCGTGGGAAACCAGAGAAGTTGGTGAGCATTTGCTCTAGTGTCCAAGAGCACATCCTTTACGTTTTCTTGCCATCCAAATCCAGTAAAGAAGGCGCGGGGTGGGGGGCGAGAGTAAGAGAGGAAGTGAGGAGGAGAGAGATGGGCAGATGGACTGGGATCCCGGGGAAAGAATTGCCCGCCTAGCCACACCCCGGTTTCCCAGGTAACGCGGTAAACAGAACTTGAGCTCCTTTCCCTCTGTGAACTCCATAGGTGTAGAGTGGTAGGCAGAAAGTAGCGGGGAGTGAAGATGTGCTCTTTCGTGAGAGTAGGGTCCTCCAAAGGGTTAGAGCCCCCAAAGAAATTGGAAACTTCCCTTGGGACCGGTACAGGTTTCCCCTTAGTGATGAGTGCTGTTGGAGGCACGAGGGTGTCTGAGAGGAAGTCTCCCCTGAGCATGGGAGTCGGATTAACCCACAAAGGAAAGGATGATGTAGGAGAGAGGAGGGTGTTCAGGGGAACAATATCTCCCACGGAGTGTGGGCTCAGGGGAGGATTAAAAAAAGACTCCCAGTGGAGGGAGAGCCCCTTGGTTAGTGATAAATACGAGGAGAGAACGGCATCATCAGAAACAAAATCTCCATTGAATAAGGGGCTTGAACTTAAATTAAAAAGACAAGATATTTCTAGGACCCCCTTGGAGAGGAGTAATTTAGGTATCAACAGGGTCTCAGCCTCACAGGAAACAAGACCTTCCCTGGATATGTTGCCAGAAAATGAGTGTCTTCTGGCAAAGTGTTCTGGAAGGAGAATACAGCATCCCTCGGGTATGGTGTGTGAAAGTCCGCAGGCTCTGGGGAGCAGGAGAGGTCCTGTGGCTGGTGCCCCTGAAGGGTTTGGGGCCTCAGTGGAGAAGCAGCAGGCTTTGGGTGCGGAACCTAGCCAGGAACTGGAAAAAGAGCCCACCTGTGTGGTGATGAAGCCCAGTGTAGAGATGACGTCTCCCGTGGAGGTGGACATTGGGCTGCCCCAGCCAGAGGAGCCAGATGCCACGAAGAATACAGAGCCCCTAATGGGCTTGGTGATTGAACCTTCTGAGTGCCAGTTCGCCCAACAGCCTGAAGAGAAAAGAGAGGCTGAAAACTTTGAACCAGGAGTAGAACCTCCAGATCGCATCAGACCCATCTACGCTGGGAAATTTTTTGATCGAATGCCGTGCTATCCAAGTGTAAGTCTTTTTTTTTCTAGTGTTTTCCCAGGGAACTGTGTATAGCCATATCTTTATAGAGGTGATAAACTGATGATACTTGTGTTTGGGTTTGTGGAGTCAAACCGCCAATATTTCATTGGGATTCTGATATCTCTTGTCCCATTGGACTCTTTCTAGCTGTTACTTCGTCCAATCTTCTCTGATTCTCTGCCTTCCTTTCTAGAGGTCAGCATTGTTTTCTGTGCACATCAGTGGTTCCTCTTGATTTTTGTTTTCTCCTGTGACCTTTATTTCATTCCTTAGCCTGCATTTCTCAGTCCTCTCACTGAGATGTTGTATTCTTTTTTAAAAAATATATTTTTATTGATTTCAGAGAGGAAGGGAGGGGGAGAGAGATAGAAAAAACAATGATGAGAGGAAATCATTGATTGGCTGCCCCCTGCATGCCCCACACTGGGGATCGAGCCTGTAACCCACCTGGGCATGAGCCATTGGCCAGAATCGAACCTGGGACCCTTCCGTCCTCAGGCCAGCGTTGTATCCACTGAGCCAAACCAGTCAGGACCATGTTGTATTCTAATACTCATGTTTCTTTTTCAATTTACATGGAATGCTCTTTTTTGGTCAACAACCTGTATTGCTTTTCATTTTTTCTTTTCCTTTTTCAACGAGAGAGAGAGAGAAAGGGAGAGAGAGAGAGTGAGAGAGTGGTGTTGTTCCACTTATTTATGCATGCATTGATTGATTCTTGTATGTGCCCTGACCAGGGTTTGAACTCAAAACTTTTGGCATATCAGTATGACACTCACACCAAATGAGCCACCCAGCCAGCACCTTCTTTTGGATTTTTTAGGTAAATAGTCATGTTGATGCTTTTATCTTTCCTTCTTTAGTATATATGCCTCTCGTATCTATTTTCTATATCATTGCATTGCCTATGATCAATAAAATGGCATTGATAGTAAGGTTTCTTTCTTGACTTTCATGGGAATAATTCTAATGCTTCAATATTGAGTATTATTTTTGCTGAATATTTTTGATGTGTCAAGTTAAGGACACCTATATCTACTCTGAGTTTGCTAAGAATGTTTAAAAATCAGAAATAGACCTTGAGCTATTAAAATGTTTCCCATTGGTTGAAATACACCTTTTCCAGATTGAAATGGTTCATTTTCTAACAGCAAACAATCTTCATATTTGTGGGTTAAGCCCTACTTGGTTGTGATATAGGAAGAAGGAAGGAAAGGTTCAAAGAAAGGCTAACCAATTGTAGTGCCTATAATGAAGAGACAGTATGTTAGGCACTGTGGCTACAAAGCTGAAAAATGATATGGTGTCTGCTTTCAAGGAACTTACGAAGTATGGTAGCAATCATCTCAGGTAGAAACTATAGTTTAACACTAACCCTGCTGTTTGGCTTCTGTACTTATTTGCTTTGTTTAACAATAGAAAAGTTATTTTGATTTTCTGAATTATATAAATTAACCCATTCGATTAAATACCCTATTGATAGTAATGTGAATATCCCATGGGTTGTGGTCATACTGGTCTTAGAAAGCACATTTTCCTTTACCTGGGAAGGACAGCACAATTATCCCAAGGTCAGAGGGCTCCTGTTAACGTGTCCCTATTGACTCAGTGCTCCGGAGACCCAAAAACTGTAATTTAGATCAAACCAGGTTCCTCATTCCAGACCCGAGGGCTCCAGATAATGTGTTTCTGTCAATTCAGTGATCCAGAGACCCAAAACTATAACTTAGGTAACATGCTGCTTCTGCTTCTGTAAACTGCTTCTTTTGCAAACCAGGTTCCTCATTCCAAACCCTGAGATGTAATCAATACCTTTGTGATCTTTGCCTATATAAACCTGGTATTGTAGCCATCTTATCACTATTAGATCTGGGAGAGCGAAATGCCCACTCATAGTCCCGGATTTCCAATAAATGTGACTCTTTAATTCAACTTCTTGAGGTGTCCTTGTGTAACTCTCGGGGTATATTACAACACTTAGAGTTTAGCAGGGGTCCTCAAACTTTTTAAACAGGGGGCCAGTTCACTGTCCCTCAGACCATTGGAG